TTTAAGAGCCATGTAATATCCATATAAACATTTGCAAATCCTAATATTAAAAACAAATACTAATCCCTGTCATATCTATCTTGGAGTATTGTAGTATACCTAATACGGCATCATGTATGTCAAAGTGTTCATTTATTCATTACGACTAAATATGTATTAAACATTTTATAAAGTGTTAGGAAAATAGTACATTGGGAAGACTCATAAGGGGAAAATATTCAAATATAATATGTGGAAAGTTTCTTGGGTCATAAATGGTTTCCATTTATTGAGCTTTTCCCATTACTTGGCACAGTGCTATGTCCTTTATAGTCATTATTTCATTTAAGGCTTTGACTCTCTTGTGACATTACTGCTACTGTTAGTAATGAGGAGAGAGGCTCAGAGGATCATGTACTTCTTCAAGTGCCTTTTGAGTACCTATTATTTGCCAGTATACACTGTAAGCACCACAAATGTGTTGCCCTGCCCTCATGAAGCTTAAATTCTAGAGGGGAAGACAGACATTAATCAAATAACAACACAGATGTATAAATACATTTATATATAATAGATAATAAATAAAGATAAGTTACAGATAAATCTTCACATCCATTATATGTGCTATGACAGAAAGACCCCTTGTGAAACAGGAAACTAATGGGGAACTTGACCAGGAGATGAAGACAACTGCCCTGGGGCATGGCAGTAATATTGGAGTTGAAATGTGGAAGATGGGCATTAGTTAACCATGTACAACGGGGGTTTAATGGTGGGCAGGTTGAGGGGCTCTGCCCCATGACTGTCTGACTGTAAATGGGATTACAACTGAAATTCTCAGTCAGTCCGATGGAGAGTTTACACAGACTTGGGTTTGATTCCTATGACTTTATTAGTTCAATGTCTTTAGGCAGGGTACTGAATTATCTCTACCTCATTTTCCTCATTTGTGAAATAAAGGTAATAATAGTACTAACCTCATGGTATTTTCTGACGATTAAGAGAGCTAATATTTATAAAATATTTAACACAGTGAGTGGAAAATGGCAAATATCCGGTAAATCTAGCGATTATTAATGATAATGGGTAATAGGTTACTGCTATAAATTTTAAAATCCTACCTTTGGAAGAAGAAAAGACAGAGGAATAAAAAAGGAGAGATGGTACTTCTCTTGCCCATTTGAGGGCTTCCTTCTGTTCTTTTAGGGTCGTTTCTCTACACCCACTGCCCACAAACTCTGTCAGGTCCCTGAGCACAGGGACTCTGCCATCCGTTTCCAGCCGCTTAACACAGTACTTGGCTCCCAAATGATGGTTTTGCGTAGTGATAATATTTGAAGCTGTAGGAGGGGATAAAATTGCCAAATTAAAAAATGAGAGGCTGGCGTGGGAAACACCTGTATTTATTTACAGTGGAGAGAGAGTGAGACATTGCTGCCAGAAAAACTAGGATAGTGGGTCTCTACAGCCCAGGAATGAAGGAGAGAGTGCCGTAAGCTGCATCGAGGTCTGGGAAGACCAGGAGACTAGAAAAAGGGACCAGAATTAATGAGAACATTCCTTTTGGAGAAAGTTTCAGAAACGTGTGGGACAGAATCCAGATTGCAAAATTAAAATGTAGGTGGTGGTGCAGAAGTTAAAAGCAGTGGGTGTTGGGTGCATGGATTTTTCTTTCAAGAAATCCATGGTAAAGGTAAGCAGAAGGAATAATTACTTTTAATAAGTTGCAGATTTTAAAAAATTCATTATTGTTATTGTTCTGGAGGATTTGGCAATGCTGATCATGTCAGAATTGAGGAAAGAATTACCGAGCGCTCTTGAAGAGGCACAGAGGGGCTGATAATATGAGACAGCTAGACCTGCCTGAGGATCCCTGCAAATACAGGGGGGAACAATCTGACTACACTGTCCGCTCTTTTCCTGGTATCCTCTTTCTGCCACTTCCTCATCATCTCTGGATTTTCTGTAGTTAAGAGTGCCCAGCAGTGAGTAGGAGGAACTTACATGTTAGCTGAGTGAAGGAAGAAGTAAATGTGCTTACAAAAAATGAAAGTTTATCCATTTCTACTCTTCCCAGCTGTCTCCTTGTAAAGCATGTACATTTTTGAAGCTTAACTGCCTTTGATAATTTTATGATAATTTATTTTCTTTAAGTGTGGGTGAGTTGGCAAGTGATCACATTGGTTCTGTTTTGTTGTGAATAAATAGTATGTCAGAGTTTTATGCTGTTTCAAAAATGTTATTTAGAATAAAACTTCCTTTGAAGCCACAATAGTCTCTTACTCAAAATATTTATTTAGACCATATTGTTTAAATATATATAATTCCCTTAAGGAACAATTGTAGTCTATAAAAATCTGAATTTAAAACAAATAGACCTTCTGGAATTCATAGAAATTCAAAATGGATATTCCAGTGTTTAAGTGTTTATATACAAAAGGAGTTGAGGTGTTCCAATGTTTGTGTGTTTAGGTACAAAAAGAGTAGAATTCATAAAAAAGGATGATGATCTGAAAAGTTTAATTCCCAAATGTGCCAGATGTATAAAGTTATTTAGGTAGAGAAAATATTTAAATCATAGAGTAGTTAAGAGTAAATGAATGAGTCAACTAGTGAATAAATAATTATACATAAAAATAAAGCAAGTCTACAGTCTCTTAATTTGTTCTGTCCTGAATATAGCTATAATTAAAATTGAGAAAAGTGTGCTTTAACACAATGTAAAATTAGGCAATTTTTGTAAAATAACTGAATGTTATCAAATTAATGACTGAAAATATATATGTCTCTTGTGTTGAAGTTAACATATAGTCCTTGAGAAATCATCTCTTTTTATTGGGAATTTTTTAATTTTGGTAAAGCAGAGGTGATTTTTTTGAGGGGGGGAGTTATGAAAGCTTGTATTATTGCAGTTCAGATTACATGAATATTTTAATGTCAATGTGGTTGCCGTATCTGAATTTATAATTAGATAGTTTGTAAAGTACCTTGTTTTTAGTAGAAACACTGCCCTCTAAACTGTTTTGTTTGGGTTTGGGTTTTTTGACCATATTACAATCAAATTGTGAGTTCATTAACTAATGAACATGATATTTAAATAAGATGTTTCTAACCTGTTATGTTCTGATATATTGCTCGGTCAGTAAACTATTGAAGTGGAAATAAGAAATTTCGGGAGAAATATTTCCCCCTGTAACCTACAAATGCATATATTATTCTTGCTTAGTCAGCATTTACTTCCTTTGGTATCCCTATTCTTATTACTCATTCTTCCAGTCACCAATGCATACAGCAAAGTTTTACAATCTAGCTAATATGTAATTAGACTGTTGACATTGGAAGACAGACCCTGAAATATCAGGCAGATTATACAATTGCATGTTTCCCTAGTGGTAATGGAGCAGCAAATTAGAGGTGGAGGTGAACTAAGAAAGGAGTCTACAGTGAGGACTCTCATTGCAAACCGAACTGGGACGTATAGATTTAATGTTCGTTAGTGAAAAGAGAAATACTTCAAAGTTACCTGATCCAAAGCATAGGGAACAATAAAAACCCCGTCCAGTCTTATTCTCTGTAAATAGAATTTGGCCCAACTGTGTTAACAATATCTAAAATACTGTCTTAAAAGTGAGACAGTTTATATAAAAATCCAAATGGTTCCAGGAATGAGCATCTGGAAACTGTGTAAGGGAGCATAGCTTTCAGTTATAGACCTACAATTTCAGGTAGTTCCATGCCTCTCCTCCAAAAACCCCCCTGCCCCCCACCACCCCAAATCAGTAAGCATTGATTGCATCTAAAGTTGTAGAGAGATCTTTTCCTGGCAGTTCAGGTAGTTAAAGTAGATTGTTAATCTGTGAATGATCAGACTAAATCCCTTCTGTCTTCAGAATTTCCATGCAAATTAGAACTAAATGTATGAGATAAATTTAACTGTAGTCTAGGAGCCTAGGTCAGCTTTAGCAAGTTTTAAGCATAGGTTTTTATCCATAAAAAGTTACACTTCATTTATGCTAATTTTCTATGGATTCACTTTATAATATAAACTGGTGAGATGATTTTTTTAAAGTACCTGTAAAGAAATGAAAGATTTTTTAGTTTGTTTTCCAGTTTTCTAAGATAGAGTTGGATTGTTATAGATATGTTTACACAAATGGCTTTTCCTATTCTAATCTAAAAACAAATTTAAACTTATTTTCTTACATCACCATTAAAGTAAAAGAAAAGAGGGCGCCTGGGTGGCTCAGCTGGTTAAGCCTCCTCCGACTCTTGATTTCAGTTCAGGTCTTGATCTCAAGGTTGTGAGTTCAAGCCCCACTTTGGGCTCCACACTGGGCATGGAGCATACTTTAAAAAAAATAAAGTAAAAGGAAAGTTGTTTTGTATTTTTCAAAATAGGAATGAAAATGAAATTAATAAGTCAAAAGGGAAAAAACAAGGCATTGGGAAGTAGATAAATAATACCAGAACTATGCTAGATTTTATTGGGCCGACAGGAGTGTCTTTCAGGGTGTATCTGATAGATTAGCAAAGCATTTAAGTGAAACTCATCAGAAGAAAAGTAATATTCTAATAATAATATCTGTATGTCATGTTTTACTTTCACCAACATTTCACCTGAGCATTATTGTATTAGAATGTATTTTTCTGTGTTACTGCCAAGTGGATAAACTTAAATGGGAATATATAGTAGCAGCAATATTTTTTTCTGTTTGGGATCCCTAGCGTTAACAAATCAAGCATCTCGTAGAATATGTAATCCTTTATTCTTATTCTGCTTGGTCTACGTTTCTAATTTAAAGGTTAAATATGAACGACACAAAACATTGTTAGTGAATGAGCTTTGTTTTCTTACATTTTTTTGTAAAAGATTTTGATCCAAATTTATTTTTAAAACTCTCCAGGCCCCTACCAACATAAAGCCTTTAAAAATGGAAGTGGATGTTACTTATTAAAATGGTGAAGAAACACAGTACCTTTGAACAGATGCTGATCCTTTTTTTTCCTCCTTTATTTTTCAGGCCATCCGTTGCACACTGGTAAACTGCACGTGTGAATGTTTTCAGCCGGGGAAGATTAACCTGAGGACTTGCGATCAGTGTAAACATGGCTGGGTGGCACATGGTGAGGAAAATCTGGACTTTTCTTCCTGTTCTTGTTAGGTTCATGTGAATGTGCGTATTTTTTCCAAGCAGTCGCTGCCCTGGAGAAGAGAGGGGTCAGCTGTGCTCCAAGTGTTAGTTAACATTCAGGCTCCAGCGTATCCTTGGCTCCAAGGAGCAAGGCTAGGCGAGCAGAGCAGCTCTTAGCAGAAGGGTGCGATGTTTATAGGACAGTTGGGCCATGGGGTTCTGACTGAACATAGCAGCGGCCAGCAAGCACCAGGCCTGTTGGAAACTCAAACATACCACAGTTGGCCTTTCAGGGCCTGGACCTCAGAGCGAAGCTGGCAAACCCTCTTTGCTTGAGGAGAATTCGTCGATGACTGCTCGCCCTTGTCATATGCATTTGAGGCTGCATTTATCCTCCCAGATGTTAAATTTTGTATGGTCCAAGGTGGGTGAGAGAGTGAACGGGGACATTATTTGGCTGGTATCTGAAAAAATAATCTGTAAATACATCCTTTCAGTGTGCATCAGGATTGGAGGTGGCCGGTGTTAGAGTGGGAGCTCTGCGTAGGTGTGTGTTGGGGGCGAGGGTGACCCAGGGCCATGGCTGGAAGTGTTGCGGCTTTTTGCCAGACGCACAGAGCTGTTCCACTGGTGTGCCTTGACTAAGCAGTTAATATCTTCTTATGTATGGCTTATGGTTTTTACATTGAGGCAAAAAGAGACTTAGAAAATAAGCATTTTCTTTACTTCCTAGAATGTAGAATTTTAAAAGATAGGTAATGTTTATAAAAGAAATCTTGGCTTGAGATTTTTTTGACAGCCTGGGGTATTGGCTCTTTAGTGGATATATTCTTCATTCCCAAGTTGTGCCAAATATCCAGTGGGTTGTATTTTTATAAATGTCATGTTATTCTAGCAAGATCTGAGGTAACAACACTGGGCCATGCCTTGAAATGCTTTTAATTTATCATGTACCTTGCTTGTTAGGGTGTGTGTGTTGGCGTTGTGGGGACATTTCAGCCATGTTTCTGTGTGTGAGAGAGAAGAGGTAGATAGGGTGGTAGGAGGGGGAATATCCTGGAAGGGGTGTGCCTGGCAGGCAGGGCCACGATCCTTTGGTGCCTCCAGGGATGGAACTCTCCTGTTTCATTAACAAGGCCAAAATCTGCAACAACTCGGTCCGGTTTTGAACAACAGATGAGCTGCTGTTCCTTTGGCAGTGTATGTGTGTTACCGCATGCGGTGATTTCTTCTCTCTTCCTATATTCATTTCCTAGGGCTGCCATAACAAAATACCACGACTGGGTGGCTTAAATCAGAAGTTTATTTTCCCACAGTTCCAGAGGCTGGAAGTCCACCATCAGGGTGGTTTCATTCTGAGGACTTTTCCTGGCTTGTAGATGGCTGCCCTCTTGTTATGTCCTCAAATGGTCTTTCAATGGGCACACACCCCTGGCGTCTCTGTGCATCCAGATTTCTTCTTGTTCTTAAGGACACCAGGCAGACTGGATTAGGGCCCACTCTAGTGGTCTCATTTTAACTTAATCAGCCTCTTTAAAGGCTCCATCTCCAAATATAGTCACATTCTGAAATACCAGGGGTTAAGCCTTCAAGGTATGCATTTTGGGGGCAGGGGGACATAGTTCAGCCCATAACACTTCCTAAGTATCCTTGTTTCCCTGAATAAGTGTTGGCTTTGCTAGGTAATAGGTACCAGAACTTACGTCCCAAGCCCATCAGGAGTCACAGAGGCAGTAATGGGTCAGATCTGGCTCTGCACCTTCAATGGTATAGAGCTCAGCATCTCTGCTGCATAGGGTTCTTATCTGTAATACAGGATGAATAATACCTCCTTTGCAGTATTATCGTGAGAATTAAAGATAAAGTACATGAAGCCCTTCAAATAAATAGTAGTATGTTAAAAGTAAGAAACTGAACAATGGATAAGCAATAAGAGTGGGTCAAACAAAGGACTTTTCATTCATTTGCTCTCATGTTTTTCCAAAGTGTTACCATCATCTATCTACTGTGGTAGCCTTGTGGGTATAAAAGTTTACTGTGTCACCAGTTTGTTTTACCTGTCCAGCTTCCACATGCATATTACATTAGTAGTGTAATGGGGGGGGAGAAATATTTCTTCTTTCTAGAACAAAATAAATTATTCCTAGCCAATGGTTGTTTCTGAGACTTTCTGAGGGATGTGATTTTTCACCAAACTTGAATAAGGTATTTCTGTTACATCAGCCTATGCTTTTCCTACCGTGTCATTAGAAATCCTGTGTTTCTGGGGATATTAATTGTGGAGATTCACAAATCTTAACTTTCTCTAACTGCTGTTATTACCTTGACCTCTCTTCTCTTCCTCAATGGTTTATCAGTCTACAACTCCAAATATGTACATACAGATGCACAAACCCCACTCTTCCCCCATTCATTAGGACAAATATGACGGGGATTGGCTTCTAGCTTTTGAGTTGGCCGTGGGGTGAGAGCACCCACTCTTTTTGCCCTTGGCATTCCAACTAGTTGCTTCATTCTCTCCTCCTGCACAGAAAACCCTGAAATCATATCTCTAGTTATTTCTGCTCAGAGGTGAAACACAGCAGTCTTCCTGGCTGCTTTACACGGTACGGTGTCCTATGTGTGGGACAAGGGGGAAATGACTTGGGTTTTTTAGTGTGTCTCTGAATGCTGAGAACACATCTCATAGAATTATTTCATCGTATCACTAAACATACTCCACCTGTTATTATATTGTAAAAAAAATATTTGTGAGGCACCTGGGTGGCTCAGTCAGTTAAGTGTCCAACTCTTGATTTCAGCTCAGGTCATGATCTCAGGGGCGTGAGATCCAGCCCTGCATGGGGCTCTGCCCTGGGTGTGGAGCCTGCTTAGGATTCTCTCTCTTCCTCTCTTTCTTCTTCCCCTCTCCACTCCTGTATGCACGTGTGAACTCCCTCACTCTATCTCAAATAATAATAATAATAATAAAATTTGCTGCTAAAAAAATAACCAAATGTCAGAATCAAGTGTTCTCTATAAAAAGAAAATGTTTAGAAATTTGGTGGCCTCTTTTGAATAAATATGTTCCTGTATCTCTTTTGACAGTGGCATCTTTGGTTTCTTTGTAAGATGTTGGATTTCATGGGTCATTGTAGCTCTCTCACACACACGCGCGCGCGCACACACACATACTTCCATAGCCTTACAGATTGCTTCTCCAGCCTGATTAAATTGTTGACATTAGCTGCTTTACAACAATCTTGAGAAAGATGTTTTAAAAAATTAAAGAGAGTGAGTGATTAATTCATCATACTATAACACCTAGGTTTTGAAATTACACACTGGGCCATGTGCTTTTCACAAATTACTTCCTTGAAATCTTTAGCACCATTGAGTCAAGAGGGGGAGAAAACCTAAAACAGTTCCTTGACTACCAATAGGTATTTCCCACTGAATGAAGGATTTCCTGTTCTTTCTCCCCATTAATGGATTTTAGCTCTTTCACTTTGATTAATAGAAAGGGCTTTATTGAATTTAACTTTATTTCAAAGTAAGCTTTTTTTGGTATACGATTTCCATACCTACAGTGTGTAATAACCCAGACTTTCTAATTTTGTAAATTTCTGTTCAGAGTTCTTGGATAAAGGACTCTAGCGTCCTGCCAGCTAATTCATTTAACAACTGTATTTCTTTCCCTCTTCTGTTTGCATTATCTTCTCTGTTTTTCCTTCATTCGATAGAGTGAGTCTTGAAAAAAATTAAAATTCCTACAAGTTTTAATTTTTCTTGGTTCAAAAGTGCTGAAATAAGATACCAGGATAAGAGCAGCAATGGGCTTCTTTACTGGTGACAAATGTTTATGTTGGTAGAAATTTAGTTTGTTGCATTTTGACCTTTCCCACCATACTATAGTAGTAATTCAACCATTCACAGAATTAAAGCTTCAGCCAAAGATTTTACATAGTCTTAGAAAATAGCAAGGGGACGCCTGGGTGGCCCAGTCAGTTAAGCCTCTGCCTTCAGCTCTGGTCATGATCTCAGGGTGCTAGGATCCAGTCCCATATCGGGCTCCTGGCTCAGCAGGCAGTCTGCTGCTCCCTCTCCTTCTGCCCTTCCCCACTACTCATGTGCTCTCTCTCTCTCTCTCTGCTCTTTCTCAAATAAATAAATAAAACCTTAAAAAAAAAGAGCGAGAATAGCAAGTATTACTAGTATATACCCAGTAATGGGTTAGGTGTATAGGGAGGGCCCGGGTGGGGTGCCGGTGGTGGGGGGAGAGTGCTTGCTTCTAATGAGGAGTGTTACTAATAGGACTTTGTTGCCTTTGTAAGAAACTGGAGCATGGTATAAAGGTTGAGAACTATGGTATTAATCATTTTTGTTATTTATTATTTGCAAATTGGTTGTAATGACCTTAGTCTAGATGAAGACTTTATTTCTAAACCATTAAGATAAATAAAGTAGTAAAAAATTTTTTCTGAAGTACACTCTATTCTAAATGATTTTAGGAAATATTTAGTGATAATCCAAGACACCTGGAAGTTTTTTCTTTCATGATGGGGTATATTTGATTTGTGTATTTGAGAACAGAGGTGGGCAGATTTTAGAAACGTGATGTATGTAGAATTTTTTTTCTTTTACTAGGTCAGTGATTTTTACTTCCAACAAACCCATTTGTTGAAACTACCTTTAAGAAAAAAAATCTGTTTCTTAGTATATCTAGTAAGCATTTGGCAAGGAGATGAGGCTTGATGAATAAAAAATATATTACATAGCTTCATGAACCCCACAGCAGCTTTCTCAGTAAAATTATTTTCTTTATAGAATACTTTGATTTAAATCAAAAGGATCCACCATTCCAACAAGCTGCATGAATGCTAGCGTTTTCATTCACTTCTACGCAACCTGAATTAACACTAGTGTTATTTCCTTTGGCTCGGGCCTGCCTGTGAGCATGCTTGTTGCACCAGAATTTTCGAGACCTTTCCTTTATTATTTTCTATAAATGTG